CTGCTGAATGCTTTCCCACACTCAACACATCCATAGGGTTTCTCCCCACTGTGGATTCTTTGATGAAGAATAAGGGCTGAGCCCTGACTGAAGTGTTTTCCACATTCATCGCATATATGCTGTTTCTTTCGGGAGGGATTTCTCTTTCTTTCAAACCTGCCCTTGGGAAAACAGGTTTCTCCATATTTAAAAATTTGAGGAACACCTATATTGAGAGTGCCAGGAACTTCATGAGATTCTACTGCTGAAGGAATCTCCTGCTTTGGAGCTAGTGCTCCATTTTCAGTCCTAGCATCATCATCTGAAATAAACAGAAAATGTAAATATCACTCATTTCCTATTCTGAGAGGAAAGAAACTTGAAGAAAAAATTTTTTTAAAAATGAACTAAAAGTAAATAGCTTGCATATGTCTATGAACAGTACTATGAAAACTGGTGATAAGGTTACCTACTCTCAAAAAAGAAAAAAAATGAAATGGCTGATTATGAGGTTAATGAAGTGAGAGCACGGGAACATGAGAAATTAAAAGGTTGTATCCTAATAAAAGTGGTAACATAAGGGAGTGGGTTATACAGTAGTAGTCAAAAAACAAAGGGCAGAAAAATGGCAGATGTTTTAGGGAGTCTTAAGTTTGTTAGAGACAGTCAAAGTGATGCAGCTAGGTCTGGAGAAAAATAAAATTGGCCATGAGAAATAATTTTAATATTCTTTTGCTTTGAAAAAGGGAGAAATTATATCAAAATACAATGTGTAAATAACCACCAATCTGTCAGAAAGTGACTATTTCTAAAATGAGCAGGACAAGGCAGGTCACAGCCAAGATCAGACTAAAAGGAGAATATAGGAGTCCTGACAAAAAGCTGAAGGTAAGCTGAGAGTATCCTGTGTTAACTTGGGACATGACACTTACAAATTCAATGCACCTTTAATAACTGAAAGTTTTCCTTTAAAAGCACCCTCATGTATTTGGTATTTGTCATGGTTTTTAGACGAGTTGTTACTTCCAGGCCTCAGTTAGATGTGTTCAGTGAAAGAACGGCCCAAATTACCAACATGAGGTACCATCACCCACCTGTAGGCAGGCAGTGATTATGAGCGAGTCTCATTTCAGACCTTCCTGAAACTTCAAGCCTTAAAGAATAAACACAGTTACTAAAGGGTGAACAGCACTGCTCAAAAAAATTATAAACAGTGAGCAAATCTGTAACAAATGATTAAGAAAGGGATAGTCAGAAAGAAGGCTGACAAAGAGACGCTGAAGAGTTAGAGGGGATCAATGAGGTCTGGAGACTTGAAGAACAGAGAAGTGAGTGTGAAGGTGACAAATGGCACAAAAGAACTGAGCTCCCAAGTGTGGTACAGACCAGACTGCTAAAATGAGGCTACTTAAAAAGAGGCAAGAATTATCCTAAAGTTCAGGCAGGGGAGAAGTTCCCAGGAAGATACCACCTCCAACAACCAATGACAGTGGTTCTCAAACTTTATTGCACAAAAGAATGCCCCATAATTCAGAGGGGAAGCCTGCTCAGAGCTCATTACACTAGCATTACCTCCAACTACCTCAAGGAATGATTCCCAAAGCAGTCTCAAACAAAATTTCATTTTAATTCATATAAATATGAAAAAGAAATGTAGCGGTTTTAGGAATATACGGGGTTGTATCAAAATAAGTAAGTATGTGGCATTAACTGCCAAGATACTGGGAAAGAATAACCTTAGTGAATTATGAGCTTTCTACTTAATTTTTCTATACTTATATTTATTATAGCTAGGGGCCATATTTTTGCATAAATACTTAGAAAAGGTGAAGAATTTTCTCTAAATACCATTCCTACAAAAGAAGCTTCTTAGGAAACAGAAATGACTTTAGGTAGGATGTTTGAAGGAAAAAACATATACAAAAAGCTAAAAATTCAGAAAAGGCTTCAGTAATAAACCAAAAACAAAAAACCTAGATTTGAAGAGGTATCAGGTAAGCTTATTGTACCAAGAAGACTAGGCAAGAGACTAAAAGGATGTGAAACAGATGGCAAATAAGCAATACGGCATGTGAAACAGAGCGACCTGGTCTACAGGTGGGTGTTGGCTCAGAGTAAGGCAAATGCCAGCCTGAAATGGATAGGCCTTCAAAGAAAGAAGTAAAAGAGAAGAAAAGGCTGATGATGTTAATGTTGAGGAATAAGAGACCTGAGGTTAGCAAACCAACTGTTATTAGAAAAGAATCGAAATCCTAAGCAATCAAGTTAAGGTGATTACCCCCCCCCCCTCCACCGCCTCCCTCACAGTAAAAATAAGCAAAGAGTTCCGGACAAAAGGTCCACACCCTCTTTCACCCTCCTGCCCACATGGGGTCCTCACCACAGTGTCTTAGGGAATGGAGCTCCCAGGATGCCCACTTGAGCTGGTTTTCCACTGCATCGAGCTCAGAACTTGGTAATCCCTGAGCTTCTTCTTGAGATACCATCTCCTCTACTAACACTTCCCGTTTTCGTCGTCGAAGAGAAACCTGGAAATGAAAGGGTTTGGTTCAGTTGAGAACGAACGTGATGAGAATCAAACCTAAACGCACACAAAAGAAACCATACAAAACATATGCTGCAGAGGCCTAAATGGCAAACAAGCATAGATAATGGGGGCGGGGGGGGGGGGCGACACAGAAATGTAATTTTAACTTAGTTGAGTGGAATTAATTCAGCAGCTGCGCCTACTGCCATGCCAATGCTCCTGACCCAGGAACGTGATGCAGCAGGCTTACCGGCTGTCCAGGGTCATCCAATTCACTCTCTAAATCCTCCAGCACCGTCACTGCCTCCTCTCCATTCTCTGGATGATGCTCTCGAACCCAAGTCTGTAGCTCCTTGGGTAGGATGGCAACAAACTGCTCCAGTACTACCAGCTCCAAGATTTGTTCTTTTGTGTGTGTCTCTGGCCTGAGCCATAGACGGCAAAGTTCCCGAAGCTGGCTCACAGCTTCACGGGGCCCAGGTGAATCCTGGTAACCAAACTGCCTGAATCGCTGCCGGAAAACCTCCGGGTCAGGGAGATGGTTCCAGGGGATACTTGACCCCTCTTCGCCATCAGGATCCTCCTCCAACTTCACTCTCAGAATTTTTTCCTCTTCATCTGGAGTTGGGATGATAAGTATTGAATCCTCTTCCACTGACTGTGCAGACATCCTGATTTATAATACTTCAAGAAAAGACAATCAAGGTAGGATACAGGCCTCAGGGAAATACCCCGTTTTCTTCACAGGCACTCCTGAGGCACAAGAAATGAAAAATATATAAATGACCAAATATTCTAAGAATTTGGACACATACCGATTAAAGGAAATAAAAATGTATTCTTTTACTAGGTTAAAAATTCCAATCAATAACCTAAACCAGAAGTTGGCAAACTACAGCTCATGGCCAAATCTAGCCTGGTGCCCATTTTTGTACAGTGCTTGTACTAACAAGAGTTTTCACATTTTGACATGGTTGAAAGAAATCAAAAAAACACTCCATGACATGTGAAAATGATATGAAATTAAGTTGTCTCCATAAATTTTATTTATTTGTTCATGCTACAATAGTAGAATTGAGTAGTTGCAATAGACACTATAGGGCACGAAAAACCTAGTATTTACTCTGGCCCTTTAGAGAAAAAGTTTGCCTATCTGTGACCGACAAAACCTATTTCAACAATCAAAAGAATCCAAGTAAGCACCAGACCACTTCAGTGTTATTTAAATGCATCTGACCCTTGAACACATTATTTGCAATTCATAACTGGTGTTCCCTGACACACTTAGGTCACCTGAAAAGCAGGGACTGCTTTTTCATTATCCGCTTAAAAATTTTCTTTTGACAAATGTTTTTTAAGGGCTAAGAAATATTTTCAAAATGTTTAGGAACTCCCTGGAGTTAAAATATACGTGAAAAAAACATTCACTTGCTCAGTAACAGATACATAATGTTGATAAAAATTAACCACTATGTGCCATAAAACTTAAGTATTATTTAGTCACCCACCGCGCCGTAAGTACCTTTACATTTGTAATGACAGGCATTAATCACAATAAAATTCTTCGAAGAAAAAGCACTCTCATAACACCGTAACTTCGTGCAGTGGTGCAGACTCTTGTCCTTACACTGGGTGACTCACAGGCTCCCTGGCTTCTACCTTCAGGGAAACCTTGTACTATTTCTGATCCTTTCCTTAGTATTTGCACAGTCATGCCCATGCCATTGTTTACAATACCCATTAGGAATGAGCCATGCAGCTACTCAATGTACCTATTCAGGACCCGGAACGTGAAAGCCAGTAATTTCCAAAAAACTTCCCGTAACCCCATGAGACTAGGAATCGGAAAAGATCTTATCAGGTAATATACATACAGGTGTAATTAAATACTCTGGAGTGTGGCGGCCTTACAAACACGTAGGTTTGGCCTACAGATTCGTTTGTTCCTATTCCAAGACCGTACCTTATCGACGGCTCAAACAGTCTACAGAAAATAAATTTCTCTTCCTTTTACGTTCTCATACAGCACCCCGCCTGTGGGACGTGAGGCGGTGCGGGGAGAGCAGCCTCGCGGTCCCGACGGTGCGTGGGCGGGGAGCCCCGTTCGAAGTAACCTCTCCACTCACTCCTGCAGAGTGCCGCTGCGAACCCCGCCCCCACTGCAGCGATTCCAGCCCTTCTTCCCCGCACTCGCGGCGGCGTCTTTCGTTAGACCAAAAGCCACCCTGCCACAACAGCGTCGAAGCCACGGTACTTCCGCCCGCGGCCGGCTGAACTACAAGTCCCGGCAGGCCCCGCGCGAGGCCCGCCCACTCCCACCTCCGCCCGAAAAGAATCCCAGAACTCTCCGCGAGATGCCAGGGCCTCGAAATAGAACAAAACCGGTCGATGGGGGAGGGGAAGGCAAGGGTCGCGGAGGACACAAGGGATGGAGGAGTCTCCGAAGGTGCTGAAAGCCTAGTCTGGCTTTCCGTCTACCCCTCGCCGTCCCCCAACTGCCGGGCACGGAGACCACGGCCTGCCCCCCCGAGCCTCCCGGGAAGCCGAGAAAGGTCCCCGCAAGGCTTCTTCGCTGACTCTTGCCAAAGCGGTCCGCAGCCCGTAGCCCAGAATCCCCCTCACGCACTTCCCCCCACTCTCGCGCAAACCTCGGGCTCGGGAACCGCAGCCGCTTCGCTGTGCACGGCGGACGCACAAACGCCACTCACAAGCGGTTTCCCAGCAGTCCCCGGCGCGGACTGTTTCCGGTCTGCGGGCCCCAGGAGGCGGGGGGAGGCGAAGCACCGCGTTACCATGGAGATGCGCTCCGGGCCGGGGGAAGGGCTGTCCGACGACAATGACTGCTTTGAGGCTACGCTTGGCCTCGCGCCTCTTTCCTCCGGATAGCCCAGCCTTCTGTGTTCCGCTTAGAAGACAAGGAAAAGAAAGAATTCTGCCACTAAGATAGTCTTACGGTTTCATAAGCCTTTTCACATGCATTATCTCATGTGATCCTCACAGTAATCCTCTGACAGAAGTAACAAAAACTAATATTTATGAATGCTAACTACATCGTACCAGGCACAGTCACCGTGCTTTACATGTATTGTAATTTAATTTTCACAACAACCCTAAGATGGTAAGAACTTTTATTATCCCCATTTCACAGCTGAGAGAATCGCGGCACAAGTAAATAGCTTGCCCAGAGCTCAGTAACTAGTAAGTGGGAAGCAAGATTTAAAACCAAGGCATGACTCTAACCTTTGCCTCCCACTTGCTGTGCTGTAGAGCTTTAGTATGTCCAATTTATGTGTCAGGGAAACAAAATGAGACTCTTAAGAGCTTTGGCAATGATCGCACGTTGAATTTGCAGAATGCGTGGTCACCTTCTGACTTCAGGCTTGACATTTTATACCACAAAACAACTGCCAAAGTGATTTTTTAAAAACATAAATCAGATCATTTCATTTAAAGGCCTTCGGTGGATCCCTACTGCCTTAATTATGACATAAAAACATAAAAACTCCTGATGTGGGGCTTCCCTGGTGGCGCCGTGGTTGAGAGTCCGCCTGCCGCAGCAGGGAACACGGGTTCGTGCCCCGGTCCGGGAAGATCCCACATGCCACGGAGCGGCTGGGCCCGGGAGCCATGGCCGCTGAGCCTGCCCGTCCTGAGCCTGTGCTCCGCAACGGGAGAGGCCACAGCAGTCAGAGGCCCGCGTACCGCAAAAAAAAAAAAACAAAAAAACTCCTGATGTGGGGCTTCCCTGGTGGCGCCGTGGTTGAGAGCCCGCCTGCCGCAGGAGGGAACACGGGTTCGTGCCCCGGGCCGGGAAGATCCCACATGCCACGGAGCGGCTGGGCCCGGGAGCCATGGCCGCTGAGCCTGCCCGTCCTGAGCCTGTGCTCCGCAACGGGAGAGGCCACAGCAGTCAGAGGCCCGCGTACCGCAAAAAAAAAAAAAAACAAAAAAACTCCTGATGTTTGTCTGTAAGACCTCCTGTAATCTGTTCCTTGCCCCCAATCCTATCTCCACCCCACCCCACTCCCCAGCTCTTAGGCTTATTGTGACCCAAGATCCTCAGCCTCCTTGACCACCTTTCCTCCAAGAAGCCTCCCCACTCTCAAGCACTGGGTAGAAGTGAGCCCACTTACTCATTTCTCTGGTTTTTGTTTTCTTTTGTTTTTCTCCATAAGTTCCCTAAGGGCAAGGACCTTGCCTGTCTTGTTCACCACAGTATCCCCACCTAGTAGTCCCAGGATGCTGACTGCCTGGTACATAGAGAACCCAATAAATATTTATTGAATAAATGAATGAAGCATGGGCTGCTCAGATTGCTGCCTTTGCTAGATCACATGTCAGGCCTCAGAAACCACACAAAAGAGCCCTGTTGTTTAAGGTCTGTGTTAGAAGTGCAGGTCCAGCCTTCCAGAAGAATTCCAAGATCCTCAGGCTTCAGCTTTCTGCCTCTTTCAGGAAAATGCCCTTTGCAAAAGCCCTCAAGTCTCTGCTGGATTCGTGAATGAGAGAGCAAGTGAGTTAGAAGCTGATGGTATAGCACTACTCTACTCTCTGACTAGAGCTTTGCCTCCCCAGAACCCCTGCGACTTCTGATGCCTCTTCTCTCTTTCTTCATTTAGGAGGTTTCTGAAATCCAGACTTTTTTCTCTCCTGCTTGCCTACTGCCACCAACCTACCTGGCTGCTCTTCCCAACCTTTCTCTCTTCTGTGACTCTAAAAGCTAGCTCAAGGCATTTTTGTTTTTTGTTTTGCTTTAAGAGTTCTTTTTTTAACGTCTAATTAGTGTGGGAAAACTAAAAAGATACACATCAAACAAATACTTGGGGAGATTAAAAATGTTGCAAAATTTTACAAAACCCTTTGCCTGGGATTCTTTCTATCATTCCTAATTCTGAGAGAATAAATGGTAACTACAATGAAGTTTTCCTCTCTAATTTACTCGTTTGAGGGCAGGGACTACCAACCCCGATTTTGAAACACCATCCTTCTGAGCCCCACTATGTGAGCTCTTTCCTGAATGGTAGACCCTGTTGCTATCTTAAAGATCTAGGACTTCCCTGATGGCGCAGTGGTTAAGAATCCGCCTGCCAATGCAGGGGACACGGGTTCAAGCCCTGGTTTGGGAAGATCCCACATGCCACAGAGCAACTGAGCCCATGCACCACGACTACTGAGCCTGTGCTCTAGAGCCCTAGGGCCACAACTACTGAAGCCCGCGCACCTAAAGCCCGTGCTCCACAAGAGAAGCCACTACTCTCCACAACTAGAGAAAAGACCATGCGCAGCAACAAAGACCCAATGCAGCCAAAACTAAATAAATTTACTTAAAACAAAAAAGATAGAGCATCATGATCCTCTGGGCAACCTGAGTGTAGGG